GATTGGACACCATCAAGAAATCTTACCCCCCCAATAAAAGCAAGGGGAAGCAAGAGCCTCCCCATATGGTTCTGACGCTCCTTTGAGCGGCTGCCTTTTGGCCGTCCTGACGCAGCCTCGGTTTCCCACCCAGTGTCCCAGGTGGTGAGCTTTTTGAGCGGATCATCGATGAGGATTACCAGCTGACTGAAGTGGATTGCATGGTTTTTGTACGGCAGATCTGCGAGGGAATCCTCTTCATGCATCAGATGAGGGTGCTGCATCTGGACCTTAAGGTAGGGGCCCAGGGGGGCCACTGTCGGGCACCGCAAGTGGGAAGGGCCAGGTGCTGCATAAGAGGAGAGGCCAAACCGAGTGGGAGGGCTTTGGCTCAGTCAAGGGTGGCAGCGTGCCAGGGGTCCTGGCATCTCATCAGGGCTTCCTGCAACCGCCCAGAGGGGACCAGGGTGAATATGCCAGATCCTTTTGCTTTCTGAAGTGGGGGGGGTGGGGCTTTAAGGGGTCAGATGAGTGCTTTAAGCTTTGCAGAAGCTTAAGGGCTCCTTATCATCTTTTCAAGCTTCTCAAACTAACACCCGCCCCCCGTTGTTGGGCGAGGGTTAGGGGCTAAAAGACTCTTAAAGGGTCTGTCTCCCCTTTAGCCCCCCAACCCTCACCCAAGTCAACAAACAGAAAATGAGGCAGTTCCAGACTTTGGGCCTTACTTCCAACCTTGTGTGGTGAACTCCCCCCGCCCCCCCGCGCTCCATCTTCTTATGGTCATCGGTCCTTTTGCATCAGGTTGCATCTGAACTCATGGATCGGCCCCCCCAAACTGAAAAACTGTCCAGTTCTTCCAGGGCCAACCCCTGTGAGACATCCACGCGCTGGGCCCCGTCGCCCCGTGGTTTGTCCCGAAGCAGCCAATACACTGGGGCAGACACTGCCTGAACATGGAGGTTCTACGGAGCACCCGCTAACAAGCACGAATAGACCCTCCTTCCGTAAAATTCACTCTCCTCCCTTAAAGCGGATCGCTGTCCCCTACAGCATCTGTTTATTCCCTTTTATGGGGGGCGGAGAGTGGGTTCCTTTTTATTCTCCTTTAATTTTCGGTTGTCCTTTTCGGTCGGCTGCCCCCGATTTCCAGCGTAATGGAAGGAGGAGGAAGGAGCGAAAGGGGAGAGCAACTGCTCCTTCTCCACCCCGATCCTCTTGCCCCTGAGAAGCAGCCGCTGAGGTCGACCCAACCCCCAGGTCAGGGCGACGATGCGCCAGAGGGGCTGTTCACACCTTCAGCTGTGATCCCACACAACAGACAGGATGTGAAGCCTCTAGAGCAGTGTTGTCCAAACTTGGCCACTTTAAGATGAGTGGACTTCAACTCCC